TCTTGGGGGAATGAGGTCAGAGAGTTTCCATCTGCTTAGGTTAAGTAAGTTCATAGGAAGCCACTGTTTTGGGTCAAGCTCCCTCTGAAGACATCTACAGACCAACTAGACAAGTATGGAATCACTTCTGCTAGGTGCCATTAATCAAAATCAATTTTAAAATCGGCCACTTTAGGGGGTAAGAGTGAAAAACTAAACCCACAAATCACAGCAAGCAACTGGGGCGGGTCCATCTTGCCAGATCCAGCCAGACAGAGAAGATACTTCCGTGCTGCCCTTTGAGGAAGATTACCTTTAAACAGCCAGCCTGCTTTCTGTTCTTATTTCTGCTTCTTTTTTTCTCCAGTCCTTTTCTTCCCCAAAAGATGATGCCCTCTTTTGAATCCAGTGTTAGAGAGTGAGATGTTGTTCAATTCTGGATTCCCTAATAAATACCAGTTAGATTTCTCAGCTAAATATGTCATGATGTTTGTCTTTTGAGACTCATTAGACCTTCCAATTTTGAACATGGAAATTAAAGAAAGGGGGGGGGTTCCTTTTCTTTTTCTTTGCCCTCCTTCCTTTCATTTCCCCACCACCTTCTCATGCTTGCCCTCCTTCCCACCTCTTGCCCATCTCCTGCCCCAGGCCTTTGACTCAGAGTTTAAGCAATTTGAGCCTGGATACACAGTGTGTGAGCACTATGTGACATGTAGTTCTTTCCTACGGTGACATTCCTAACCATCAGGTTCATGGTATCTGGGAAGTTTACCTGCCTCAGGTGTGATTGGGTGTTACAGATTTTGTGTGTGTGTGTGTGTGTGTGTGTGTGTGTGTGTGTATGTGTAGTGGAACAAATATCTGGTCCTATTTTGTAGTCTGCATTGATGCTCCTTCAGACTCCTAGGTCAAAGTGTTGCCTCAGTTAGCATTTACCACTAGCAAGACACAAAAAAGAAATGTTGAAACAAACAATTTGAGTTTCAAATTCACAGAAAAGGGATTACAAGTGTGTGTTGTCAGTGGGATACCTCTGTGTTGCATACGCAGGAGAAAGCAAAAGACCTCAAAGCCCACTCCCACAAAGACACACTTACTCCAACAAGGGTATACTTCCTAATAGTGCCACTCCCTTTGGGGGCTATTTACTTTCACACCACCACAGGGGTCATATATAATGAATCATTGCCTCAACTTTCTAGCTTCGTTTGTACATTATCTCAGACTATCCTCCCACATTGTGCCTGGCTCTGAGTCTCTTACAGTCACAAGAGACATGCTGCTGGCTGCCTTCACCCCATGTTCTGTCCGTCTCCGACCTTCTGCTGCTTCCTCCTCAGAACACTGCTGGTCTTTTGCTCGTTCTGCTCAAAAATTGTGATATTTGTTGTTAAGTATTTGTTAAATATTTCATTTGTTTTTTAGTTTTATTTTGCCAAACATCGAATTTATTTGTGAGTAAATTCAGAGATTTTTTTTATATATTTTATGAGAAAAAAATTCCTGGAAAGAATCTGTATGGCCCAACAGAGGCTATTGGGCCAACTAAAACAGTTACGACTGTGGGGAGGTTGGATTGGTACCGTTTCAGAGCCCAGTTGTTATTTATCTTAATCAATATTCAGTCTTCCAAATAGCCATTCCTTAGCCACCTCTAAGTCAAACCTAATACCCTGACAAACAGATTAAAACCATCACAACAGCCGTGCATTGGTAGCACACGCCTTTAATCCCAGCACTCGGGAGGAAGAGGCAAGTGGATCTCTGTGAGTTTGAGGCCAGCCTGGTCTCCAGAGCGAGTGTCAGGATAGGCTCCAAAGCTACACAGAGAAACCCTGTCTCTAAACACAAAAACAACAACAACAACAACAAAAAAAAAACCACCACCACCACCACCACCACAACAAAAACATCACAATGTATTGTCTTAAAACTGTGTTCTCCACCAACTAAAGGACTAAGAATACTACCAGGTAACTACTGAGGCTCATCTGCCTGGCTGTAATCTGCTTTTCTGAGGTCCTCGCCAGTGTGTTTTCAAATTTCTTTGATTTATGACTTTCTTTGTTTTAGCATTATTAAACCACTTCCACTTTGGAAGACACGGAAACGGGGTGACCTAAATCTGTGCTTTTCCAGGCCATGGCCATTCAAACTTGGCTGCAGGATAAGCTATCTTTTATTCCCTTTCTGCTGAGAGCTGTGACATTGGTTGTGTGTGTGTGTGTGTGTGTGTGTGTGTGTGTGTGTGTGTGTGTTGACAACTTAAATTTTTGTCTCGCTGGGTTTTTTTTTTTTCTTATCAAATTCAACAGCTGGCATAGAGTAGGCTACATTTTTTTTCAAATATCCGAAGAGAAGAGGATTTTATGATAAATACCATGGAATGTGTATCACCTTGTCTCTTATAATTTCTCATCAGCTCTTTATTCATCTCTCAACTCCCTTTGCCTATGCATGGATGCCTGGTTAGCTTTTAGTCAATCTGTCATGTGAATGGAGGTTACTCTTTAGGTCCATAACCTGAAACCGTGCATGTGGAGGTGCCTGATAAACAAGCTGAGCTTCCTCGTACAGTGTCTGAGTTGCTGAAGAATTCTCTCTGTGGTGGGCACCTGCTAATCCCTGTGCCAACCACCTGGCATTCAGAAACAAGCCGATTCTGTCTCCTAGGAGCACACTAGTTATAGGACTCGAAAGAGTTAGTGACAGAAAAAGAAAAGGAACAAGTAGAAAATGCATTAGTGATTTTTTTTTTACATGTAATGTAGATTAATCAATGATGTTATGTTAAAACTGTCTGGTTCTTGGTATTTTGTGTGTTGTGGGTTTGGTGTTGTTATTATACAAGTAGGCAAAGCAGGTTTGGGTATTTATTTATTTACTGCTTTAGCCAGTACTGAGTATTTATGAGTCCTGGTGTCAGGAGTGATAAATACTAGCCGTCTGGAACCTGAGACCCTTTGGATCTTCCTGTTTTAAGTTCTAAGCATACTGTCAAAGTATCTATATAGTGGAAGCACACAGTGTTCTAGTCCAGGCTGACTGCAGCCAAAGTGAAAAACAGCTCTGCCAAGTCTGGACCAGCAGCCACAGGCAGATGTGGCTTTCTTCCCTGCTGCACACTGGTAGCTTTAAGACAACCAACCAAACAAAAAGCCTGTATGAGTATACCTTTTGGACGCTGTATTGACTATCTTTGATTATTCAGAGACAATAGTCGCCTTTGATGTGACATCCCAGGGCGGCGTTTTGTAATAACCCTTTATTAACATCTCCTCTGTCTACCAGTGTTTAATTTACCTCTTATTTTTAGAAGGTAGATTTGAAGGTCAAAGTGGTATCTTTGTGACTGAATTCTGGAAGTACTTAGCAGGAAGCCACCTACAGAAGGGTGCTGAGTCACTGTGAACTGGGAATGCATTCAAGCCCATTCTTAAACTGTTAACTAAAAGTGGAAGCACTCTTCCTAAGATCACAAGAGAGTTGGGTGAACAGCGGTGGGGGAACCCCCCCCCCCCCCCCCCGCCTTGTATAGCAGCCGAGGTAGCTAACTGATTTTGAACAAGTTGAGTTTTCTAATCCCCAGGCCCCTTTCCTGTAACTGGGAAACCTGGATACCGACTATGGCATGTAATAGAAGTCATGTAATCTGAAAAATGTGTTATCTAGATTTGAGAAGTTTATTAGTCTGAGGGCTAGTCTTCATTGTCAACTCAATTTCGATTTAGAATCACCATGGAAACAAATCTGGGTATGTCTATGAGGATGTTTCTAGAAAGATTTAACTTTGATATGGGCAACCCCATTCCTTGGACTAAGGTCTTGGATTGAATGAAAAGGAGAAAACAGACTGAGTGCCTGCCCTCATCGCTCTCTGCTTCCTGACTGTGGCTACAGTGTGACCAGCTGCCTCAAGTTCCTGCCGCCATGTCCTCTCCACCATCATGTGCTGGACTCCAACAGGAGCCCCGAGAGACCCTTCCTTCCCGAAGCTTCTCCTTCCGGTGTTTCATCACAGCAAGAGGAAAAGAAACCAGCAACTTGGCAAAGGTTTGTTTTATTCTACCACTTGAGAATAGATTAGTGGGGGTTGCTTGGGGAATGCACTGTACTGTGTTGTGAAGAAAGGGAAAGCAAGTCCAAACTGGGCATTTATTTATCAAAGTAAACTTAATTTTATTTTGCAAAAATTAACAAGCATATATATATATATTCATATCTGGTTTCTCTTCAAAATGTATGCTTTTTCTTTTTTTTTTTAAACAGACGTGCAAGTTGATTTTGCATGCCAAATATCCTTCTTTTTAGCTCTCCTTGGAATATTTCCCCTCTAAAACAAAGGTGCCAGTGTTGCCCAAAACCTCTTTGTTTTTTACCCTCCATAATTGCTAACGTTAACATTTATTGGGAGGAAAGAAAATCTGCAAGGCTTGGTCTTTGGCTTTCATGTTTGACTCAGCACTATAATTAAAATCTTACATTTGCTTTGAAGATAAACATTTTGAGGGAAATTCAATAAATCTTGTTTCTTCTGTGCAAAAGAGCCACTATATCACAGCGTATAACTGGAGCTGTCGACTTCCTGCTGGTAGACTATTACTTCCAACCTATTTATTAGCTTCTTCCTGTAGCCCAGGACATGCAGTTTTCCTTCCATGTAGTGAAGGTACGGGAAAATGACCATTCTCTTCTCTTACCTCCAGCATGCAAGACAGGACATGGTCGAAAGTCACAAGATCTGAATTTGTCCTGATTATATTTATTTTTTAAACTTAAATTGTTCCATGGTACAGTATTTACTTGTTGATTTAAAATCATAAGTCACTTAAAACTATATAAAGCCAGATTTCAGAGGCATTTGAAATAATGCCTGGACCATATCTGAAAGAAAATAATTGCCTCTGGCCTATTCTTTTGCTTTTGAAGTAAAAGAATTTTAGGTAAAACAAAGAGAATGAAAATTTTAAAAAGAAGAAGAAAATAATTTTAGATATTAGCTATTTACCAGAAAATAAGACTTTAAAGGTTTGTTTATTTTATTCACATCTTTTAATAGATTGTAAACAAGAGCAGGGTACTTTTGACAGTAGCCTATGAAGAATACTTTTTGTAACATATCCTTTAGTATAGAATAATATGAAGAGAGCATTTTAAATATGACTCTGTTAAGTTTCTTATAAGCCTATTTTCCAGAAAAGTGTTATTGGAAAGCATTCAGATTTCAAAAGAAATCTAAAGCCATAGAGTTGAGTTGAGTGAATGTGGGCAATGGGGTCAAGTCAATGCATTTTCTGTCATCGGATACACACAATGCTGCATGGATAAAAGCAACTGGGAGGACGCCTAGTTCAGACTCCAGGCAGGATGCGAGTGCATAGAAAGAGTGCTGGTCAGGTCAAAGGTGAAAGATGGTGCAGTCGCCTAAGTCAACAGGTAGTAAGCAACATGAACACATCATGCTATTTCACAGGATTCCGATGAGATCAGTTAGAAATTGAACTGTGATATCCACATATTTTGGAGAAAAATTCCCAAGCCAGGCGGATGTGGATGGGGATGAAGACATAGGCAGTGTATACTACCATAGCAACAATGGTCAGTAAGATGGTATTGAACATAGACTGTTCCCAGGGCTCCAGGACAGCACAGCAGCTGATGATTTGGTATTGATAGTACAGCCAGGCAAAATACTCTTTCACACTTTTCAAATCCATGCTTCTTCCTCAAGCTGTGGAAAGTCTTCCTGTTTAAGAAAATAACACCACAGAAGAAAAATAAGAAACAAAACACACAATCTTCTGGTAACACACAGCAAATTCCTACTGTTAATATTCCCATAACCTGAAATTTTGGTAATTTTCAGGCAAAGAGTATCCATGTCACTAGTCCTAATATAAACCTTGAGTGCTATCCTGTAGTAGGTTTCCTGGGCTTTAAAAAATGTTTATGTATGGATACTCTTCAACTTATTATGGAGATACATCCCCCAAAGCACAATATAAGCTTAAATGTTGTAAAGGAAAAGAAAACCAAACCGCAATTAGTATACTTAGCCTATTGAACATCAGGACTTAGCCACAAAGTACATGACAGAGTACCATTTATCTGCCTTTGTGATCACAAGGGTGACTAGAAGCTGTGGCACACTGCTGCTTCCCAGCATCACTAGAGTAAAGGCCAGGAAAGGATCAAAATTCAAAATAGGAAGTATGGTGTTTTCTATTGGTCATGTACAACAATAAACACTGAAATATCACATTGGGACTTAATCAGTTGGAGACTGCAGATACATTACTGCCTGGTTTAAATGGTAGGTTAGAGAGCATCAGAACCCTCAAGTGGACTGATCTAGATTGCTCTGTGTCTTCATTTCCTACTGATCCTCTTGTATACAGTTTTGATTTAGTATGTCTTGACTTTGATCACACATATATGTTGAGTCTCATGAGGACTTCTAGTGAATCACTGGAGATGTGGGTGGTTTGGGAAACCTCCAAAACAAACAAGAAGCCAAGATCAGCCTCTTAGTCCTTCCATTCTCTCCACCATGCAAGGAAACAATCTTCAAGGCGTGGACTATTTTGGATGCAGAGACAGACCCTCACAAGCCACAAATCTAATAGCACCTTGGTTTAGAACTGTGAATTTCTTTTTATATTAGCTTGTTGGGACCCAGCCCCCACAGGGTCTCTGTGAGTTGTTTTCCAGCATAACCACAGGTACCTCCTGTTTTCCTGGCCTCACCCCACTGGCATCAACATCCTGTTGTGAACCAGGAAAGGAAGAAGCCAAAGTAGCTTTTTTTACAGCTGATATAATTGACCCTAATGACTACCAGAAAACCACTACTACTAATAAATACACTCAGTAAAGTAGGAGGATATAACATGAACACAGAGATAAGTAACCTTCATATGTACAAATGACAGATACACTTAGAAAACTCAAGAAAACTATAATTCACAGTAACCTCAACAACAACCACAAAATCAACCCACAACTCACACCATGTATGTGTGAGAGAGAATAGATTTCACATGGACATGAAAAACTTGTGCCATGAAAATCTTGAGACACTGGAACGAGAAATTGATGGCGATACAAACATTTCCTATGCTCATAGATTGGCAGGGCTAACACTGTGAAATGTTATCTGCCATCTTACCAAAAGCAATCTACGATTCAATATTTTTCATATCAAAACTCTAACAAAGTTCTCTCCAGAAATTGAAAACAGTAAATCATAAATTTCATATGGAAATACAAAAGACCTAGGATATACAAAACAATCCTGAACAACAACAAAGCTGCTGGAGGCACCAATACCCCAGATTTCAAATTATACTACAGAGCTACAGTAATAAAAACAGCATGGTACTGACATTAAAAACATGAAAATAAAGTAAAAATGTAAATCTCAAAGAACTAATAAAACATTAAAGAAAAAAACCCCTTAAACCTATTTAGAGAGGAACTGAAGGAACCGGCTTCCCTTTTGGCAGCCATAACAGCCGAACATGTGCTTGCCATAAACCTGCCTTGGTCACTTAGAGGTCAGATGCCTGTCTTGTGACAAGGAGCCAATCAGAGGTTAGCTGGTGGCGCTATGCTTTACGACCCTGGGTGTGCTTTACGGACAAGCGCACAGCAATGACGTAGAGAGCATAGCAACCACCCTGGGAGGGCCTATGGGCCATAACAACCAGTTGACCAATCAACACAGGGCAAGCCCTCCAAGCCTGGAGGCACACCAATC